GTGCTAGCATGTCTGCAGCAACACAGGTTCAGTCACTAGGGCTTCAGACAAGTTGGTTTATGCCTTTTGTTTTCTTATAATATTTGTTACTCTCCTGGGTTAGCTCTGCAACTTAAGATTTCTCTGTTTTCTTCACCAAATACTTGCCACTGATTTGGAAATGGAGTGTCAATTATGTCTGCTTTGGTTTATGATGCAAAATGTGCATTGAAATACTGTTCTCTAACGAGATAAACTGGGACATGTATGAGGCTGTAAATGAAATTTGAAAACCAGAAGAGTATAGCTAGGACATGTGTATGGGTTCACCCTTCCCCCTCCAGCATTCTCATAAAAAACGAATTAGTATCTTTAAGAAATAACATAATTTGCCTTTTAAAAAAAAAATCTTCAAATACTTTGTTACTTTAATCAGTGGGTTGGTTTTTGTGGTCTTACACATTGTGAAAAGAAAATACCCGTGCAGTAGTTGTCTTTAGGTTTATGCAAAATAAAATCAGTTGGATCTGCTGATTTATATCTCATGCAACTAGGCTAAAGTGTAATAATCGTCATACTGCAAACTGTATAGCAGTGCCAGCCAGGATTTGTTGTTTGGCTCTTCTTTCCTGTGAAAAGAAGGTACTGCTGTAGAAAAGGCAGAACTAAAATACCATTTGATTTTTTTTCCAGCTTACATCTGTGTTGTTTTTTAACACAATTTTAATGACTCACTGTTGCAAATATCACCTCGTAGCTTCAACATGAAATATAAGAATGCTGAAAATGTGTTTCTGCTTATCTGGTTTTAAGTTGGTTCCATGTTTAGGCAGGGGTGTTTAGGAAGTGTTATGTGAAGGTACAGATAATTTTATTTCCAAAGTCTCTAGTATCAGGGGAACCTTTGAAGTGGATATCCCTTCTACCTGTAAAAATGGATGTAATGCTTCCTTCTTATCACAGATTCACTTGGCTGTTCTTCGGGATTCTTGTTGCACTGCTTCTACAGCATTGATCTTTCTGTATTTTCAATACAGTTGTTCAGGGGTTTTTTTGTTTGGTTGTTTTTTTCTGTTTTTGTAGTTATGTCATACCCAGCAGCTGTCCTGTTACAGTATTTTTTTCCAGTATCTTAATTTTACTATAAATATTTATTCTTTTAATTGAGTTGCTGCTTGAATTCTAGTCCCGATTTCCTTGTGAAGAGTATCTGCCTAAGTATGCGTTTGTCTTATGTTACTTACTGCTTGCCATGGTGGTTCTGCTTCTGTGAGCTCTCAGCCATGTGGATGCTTCCTGCTTCAGGTCTCGGGTTAAAGTTGTTCTGTAAGTCTCATCCCATTGCTGTCCTTGGTCATGTGGATCTGTTGTCCCTGATCCAAAAAACTTAAGACTGTCTTGCTTTAAGGCTCCTGGCTTGTATGAACTTTACCAGTTAAGGTGACTTTTGAGAAAAGGGAAAAACAGGAGGGGAGGAAAATGTACGGGGATTATTTTTAGGAACATCCCATCCCTTGAAAAATCAAGTGACCACCAATGCAGAAGTATGTGTGTTAACCTCAGGTTAATCCATGCTCATCTACCATGTTTTGTCTGTGCAACAAGAGGAACAGTTGTGTTTTTGATCATGTCTGATTTTGTTCACTGCACAAAGGAAAGAGCAGAGAAAGATAGAGGAGCCCAAACTTTTATTAATTTTCATAAAAGAAAATGTATAACCCACACTCCTGAGAGATGCTTCTGAGGGCTTGTTTGCTGTTTCTGTAGATAATACACAAATTAACCAGCGATGATGAGTGAAATGAACAAGTACATAATACACTCATTGCAGTGTAGGAGATCTTGGCCAGGAAGTGATCCTGTTTTCTCTTCATCGAAAGCACATCTCTTTGAGAAGGACAACAGTTTGCATATGAAATGGATTGTTGCTTGTGGAAGGGGTTACGATCTGTTCCTCCCTTGTATTTCTGTTCTTGGCTTGTTGTGAGTGTACAGAGCAGATATGAGTGTGTGTTTTGCATTTCATTAGAAACCCCAAAACATCAGTGGCTTTATATATTGGATTTTCAATTAATGTGTTGTGATATATTACATGTAGTGATACTTGCAAAAAAAGTGAGGAAGAATTCATGTTTCCAAAGCTCTTCTTTTTGCAGATGGGGAAAACTCAACTAACATAAACATTAAAAGTTTTAGAGCTATGATTATTTAGTTAAGAGCTCTTCAAATGCAGACCATCATCTAACATCCACAAACATTTGCTGCCAAGAGAAAGCTGTTTTCTTTGAATTTTGCTGGTCAAAAATGCCATATGAATAATCTCTCTCACCTCTCAGTGATTCTTAAGATAGCGAAATGGAGAGATACAGAAGGTGCATTGTAAGGGGGAGATGAAATGGGAGACTAAATGGAGGGCATTATTCTTTTACGGGGGGGTGTGTGTGTGCGCGTGTGTGTGTCTGGTTCTTGGTATTATGCGTGTGTACGCTTGCTTGTGTTGCAGTTGAGAACTTGGGGCAGGGGGGGAGTATTTCTCCTTAGTTGCCTAATGAGTGTTTACCCCAGTGAAGACACAACAACAATCTGTGACCTGAAAAATAGTGTTGTTGTCACATCTTTGAAGTGCAAAATACACTGCTTACAGTTAATATAGACATGTAACTTGTTGTGAGGGAGAGAAAGATTCCTGGCAACAAATACATTTATTAATTTCAGTGGTTTTAGTTTTCTTGCAGCCTTTGGGTTTGATTTGGTGTGTTTGTGACAGTGTTTGGTTGTTTATATTCATAAACTGCTTAACTGGAAATGCATTCAGACAGCCTAAATTATCTTGGAGTCCCTGAGCGTTGTGTGATGGTGGTGGTTTCTCTAAATTTGCGACCTATCTCCTTGCTGTCCTCACTAGTTAATGCTCATCAGGAGAGTTGTCTTCCCTTTTCCTGATATTCCTTATCTTCCTCAGGACTCCTGCACCTTGGTGGAGAATATACCCCTATAGTAGGAACCCAGATTGTAGGATACTTCTGCGACAGTTTGATTTCTGTACCTCCAGAGCAAGTGAATTCAAATTCATCCACTTGACTAGAAGTCCTAACAAGGAAAGTTCTGTTTATTCCACAAGGTGAAGAGTTATGTGACTGCAAAGCTACAAAAAACAAATTGAGAAAACACAACCTTATGATATGCCTGACCTTCATCTCTGTTGTCTTGTACCTATCACTTTGAATTTCTTAGTGTCATGTTTGTCTGTGAAAACGCAGAAAATAGCTCACTTTCACTACAAGCCTCTGGATACTCAAAATTTTGCATTCTTTCTTAAAAGAAAGCTTTTCTGGTTCTTCGGTTCTTCCCTCCTGCAAGCATCCAGCTTTTGGATTCATACTGAATATGACTGAGTATGTTAAATTTTCTTTCTGTTTTTTCTTTTTTTTTTTTTTTTTTTTTTTTTCCAGTTTTTCTCTACTCTTGTGCTTTGAGAGGCAGATTTAAAACACATGGGATGTTTTCCCTCTCCTGGGAACTTCTTTGAATGTGTTGTGCTATTCTGTGTATATTTGGGCAAAACTGGTTCGTAGTAGCAGACATCTACAATTCATATGACATTGGATGAGCCAGTTTAGATTAAAATGCTTCTGGACACGAATGTTTTGTGATGAAATATCTGTACCTGTACCCTGATGTGTGTTTAGAAAGCATGTCAATAGTTGCTAAATACACAGTAACAGTGTATTAGGGGGGAATATATAGAGTGGTGAAAACAAGGAGTCTTGAGCTGCGGATTATAGCTGCTGAGAGGACAGTTCCCCTTTCTTTGCTCTTTATCTGTGTCAAAAGTTTGTGTGGCTTTTGCTTTCTGGGTTCCCCCGCGCTACCGTTCCTGCCTTCCTGCAGCGTTCATGATGCTTTCTGCGTTGGACAGCTCCTTCTGCAGCACCTTGTGGCTTCCATCGCACCTCGGTGGCTCTTGGGGGGGCAAGGGAGAGGCTGAATGAAATTCTGGTTCTTTACCTGGCACCCCCCAAATCAACAGAGAGTAGCCTGTGGGCCCCCTCTGTTCTGTGCATTGCTTTTTGCTCCCTTTTGGTTTCGCTGGTCAGAAGGCAAGTTCTGCATTTCCGAATGGAGAGGCATCTCTCCTGGCCCTTCAAAGTAAACAGAGTAGACAAGTAAACTACTAGTTCATTTTGGTGATTGAAGGATTGGTAGCTTTGGTGGCAGAGGAGATACAGTAACATCTTTCCATGGCTTCACCCTGGATCTCTCTACAACAGAGCCAGCAATTTATTTTTAGCTTGTATTACTAAGAGACAGTGCTGAAAATTGTGCCTTGGTTTTCTACCCCTTCCTCCTCCCACAAGTTAACCTTAACCATGTTATTTCTGTTAATTCCCGGACTGTAATTACTGAAGAGCTGAATTCTGGTGGCTGTTACAGTCTATCCTGGTAACCTCTAATGGAAGACAGGGGGAACCTAGCTTTTATTACTGAAGTGCGAAGTACTCTGTTATAATCACTGATTGCCTGTAATTTATCTGCTTCATCCAGTTTCAAGCAGCTCTGGTTAAACGTTCTCCAGGTGAAGTATATTGTAAAAATCAAATAATTAGGAAGATTGAGTGGTTTTGCTGCAACTCTTGTTTGCCAAACTCATCATCAGTCTGTTGAGATGAGGAGAAACTGGAAATTGGGCCATCTAAATTGGATGGTTTGTGCATATGAAAAGGATGAAGAACCAGATGGAGTGAGCAAATTGTGTGTTGGAAGTTCCTTGTGTATACCTGTGACTTTTACAGCATTGTAGCTCTTATTCAGAGTCTCTGAAGTTTAAACTGAGATAAAATTATATTATAAAACTAAAGCTTTAAAAATAAGTGCTATGGAACACCAATGCACTTCACACAAGTAGAAAGAAAAGTAATACGAAAAAAAAAAAAAAGAGAGACAATTACTGATTTTCATGGTATCATTTTTGATCCAGGCTGGTTTGTGTCCCTCCTTGCTGCCATTGGGTAGAGCTCGGCTCAGCTGCTGTGTCGGCACTGTAACAGCACCTTGTGCACAGGGGTTTTGGTCCGGGCAGCGTTGGTGTGCTGGGCATCGCTGCGTGGAGCAGCATGGAAACGGTGAGGGGCAAAACCGGAGCCGGCGTCTGTTGTGGCCTGTGAGCCAGGATACCAAAACAAGGAATGCAAACGTTATTATCTGGACTCTGGTAAATTCTTTTCTGATGCTAATAATTCTAATAAAGACTGCTCTTTTAAAAATTCATTACTTTTATTTGGAACCAGTTTTTAGTGCTAGAAGGCCTTTATTTTGTTACACATTTGACTGCAGTAATATAAGGGCTACAAGTTAAAATTGTTAACAGTTGAAACTGCAAACAAGCTGTAAATATTTTACTGAAGGTAATCAACCATGGAAATAAATCACCAAGGGATGTTATGAATTTCCTGTTGCTTTGAAACTATTCCTAACTAGAAATCTTTTTAAAACATCTTATGCTTGAGCTGCAGCTAGTTGAAGTTACTGTGGACATTCCTTAGTCAAATAAAGTTGCCTGTGTTGTGAATGACGGGAGTGCAATGTTCTGTGTGGTGTTAAAATGTGAGCATGTAAAATAAATAAACAGTTGCTGATTGGCTTTGGGTTTGGGAAAGTGCTTCTGGCTGTGCACTCAGGAGTGCTGGTGTTGCTGTACCTGGACGTATGGGATAAGGAAGGTGATTTAATGGCACATGTGTTATGTTAGAGGCTTAATCCTAGGAGCAATAAGTTTTAGATTCGATTTTTTTTTTGTTTGTTTTTGTTTTTTGTTTTTTTTTTTTTTTTTTTTTTTTTTGTGTGTCTGTGTGCTGGGGAGGGGCAGGGTATATTTGTATAAGATAAAAAAAAGATTTAGGTGAGAAATTAAATTGTCGGGGTGCTATGAGGAACAGACAGGCCAATTAGTGCCCTCTAGGCCCTGACAGAAATGTGGGGAGGATGCACTTTTAAAAGTATGTGGATGGAATCATGTTCATGTCTTCATAAATGTCAAATGATGCTGCTGTCCCTAGTGACTTGTAAAAGGATTTGCTTCTGATATCTGCAGTGTTGCCATACGACCACCGCTTTGCTGCTTGCAACAGTCTGTGCTCAGGAGACATATAACTGCCTTCTTAGCCGCACTTGCAAACAAGTTCTCATTCTTTCATTTCAGGAGGGGTTTTCTTTCGCTGTGATGACAGAATACACTATATGTAAAAAGAGTTCTAAAAGTGATTTGTTTTGGAAAAAGTTATTTGTGTAGTCTGTGTTGGCTTGCTTCTGTTCTTTACACAGGACACTAGGGAATTAATAAATTGAATACAATATTGAATTGCAAGTGGAGTCTTGATTTAGAGGGGAAAAATAGCACACTGTTTGGGTGATAGAGGTCACAAGCAGTGTTTTTACTTTTAAATGTTGATTAGTTAATCATTCTTTTAAAATGATGTTGCATACATGTTTAGGAGTAGATTATGAACAGCTTGCCAACATCAGTTTAATATTTGTTTCATAATTTCTCAGAAGGGATATCAAATGAAAGAATTTTGTTGACTGAACTATTGAAGGATATTCATCATACACTTGAAATACATTATTACGCATATCTATCTTAAGTCATATATTCATCAACTACAAGTGGATTGTTCCTCTTACATGTTGGCTTATTTAATAAAAATTATCGTAGAAATCTGTTGTGGTTTGAGCCTACTCAGCATCTAAATGCCACACAGTTGCTCACCCACCCTTCCCCCACTTGGGAATGGGGAGGGAATCAGAGGGGCAAAGGGAGACTCGTGGGTTGAGATAAAAACAGTTTAATAACAGTAACAGAATAATACACTGACAGCAGTACCAACGGGTGATGTACCATACAGCTGCTCACCACCCGCCGACCGACACCCGCCTGCTCCCAGCCAGTGATCCCAAACACCAAGGCCCCACAGTAACACTCCCAGAAGTAGCAGCCTCTCCGGGCCCTCTCCTGCCTTTATATAGTGAGCACAAGGTCACGTGACATGGACTATCAGCCAATCCGGGCCCAGCCCTCCAGCTGTGCTCCCCCCGCCCCCGCACACAGGTGAGGGCACTGGGACCTGGGGAGCCCCTGGGGTCTCAGTGTGCTAGAGCACTCCTCCCACTGCCAAACCAACGGGAACTCTATACCAGCCCCAACCAGGATCCACCCCTTATTCCATATCATTTTACATTATGCTCACGTTCCATATTTCTAATACATTATTGTTATTTACAATACTCTTCCTTGGTCAAAGACATACTCATACAGATGTCATTTCCTCAGTCCATGGTCCATCATTGCAGGATGTATCATGAGTTGACTTGGTCCATAGCTTTAGGTTCCATCTGTCATAACAGTCCCTTCAGGCAGGAGCAATGCTCAGTCAGTAGGGCAGAGGTGTCCTTGGACCTGACAGGAGGATGGCATGCAGTCTCTGTTGCAGCTGGAGCTGGTGGCTGATGCATCTGATGGTGTCTGTATTCACAGTCTGCGGCAGTCGCTGGGCATCAGTTGCTGGAGCCAGTCCTATTTTCATCCAAGTTCATGTTTGCCATAACAAAGCATTGGTAGGGTGGTGTGGTGACTAATCTAATACAGCTTATTGGCTATTTTCACCTAACATTAAGTCCCCTTGAGGTACACATCGGACTTCCCCATCCTTCTGCATTACCCACCAAGTGCACCCGGGTCCTTGGGCAAAGGTAATCCCACATATGGGCTTACCTTTACCTGAAGGAGGTATAACCCAGACGGTCTTCCCCAGCATGTTTTTAGGGTGCACTACTGGGACTCTGTCTCCATCTACAATATGCAGAATGTTTGACTGCGCAGGGCCAGCCTGGTTGGCAGATCCTCTAGTATTGACTAACCAGGTGGCTTCTGCTAAATGTGTGTCCCAATGCTTAAAAGTTCTGCCTCCCATTGCTCTCAGCATGATCTTTAGTAGCCCATTATACCGCTCAATTTTCCCGGAGGCCAGGGCATGATAGGGGATATGATATATCCACTCCATGCCATGTTCTTTTGCCCAGGTGTTTATAAGATTTCGAAAATGTGTACCATTATCTGACTCAATTCTGTCTGGGGTGCCATGCCGCCACAGGACTTGTTTTTCAAGGCCCAGAAGAGTGTTCCGAGCAGTGGCATGGGGCACAGCATATGTTTCCAGCCATCCGGTAGTTGCTTCTACCATTGTGAGCACATAACGCTTACCATGCCTAGTTTGTGGGAGCGTAATGTAATCAATCTGCCAAGCCTCCCCGTATCTATACTTTAACCACCTCTCTCCATACCAAAGAGGTTTTAACCGCTTGGCCTGCCTGATTGCAGCACATTTCTCACATTCATGGATAACCTGTGATATAATGTCCACCCCTCGGTCACGAGCCCATCTGTATGTTGCGTCTCTTCCTTGATGGCCCGAGGAGTCATGGGCCCAACAAGCCATAAATTTTTTGCCCTTATGCTTCCAGTCCAGATCTACTTGGGCCACCTTAATCTTTGCAGCCTGGTCCACCTGGTGGTTGTTTTGATGTTCTTCCGTTGCTCGATTTTTGGGTATATGAGCATCTACGTGGCGTACTTTCACAACCAAGTTCTCTATTTGAACAGCAATATCTTGCCACAAATCAGCAGCCCAGATGGGTTTGCCTCTACGCTGCCAACCACTCTGTTTCCACTGCCGCAACCACCCCCACAGGGCATTTGTCACCATCCATGAATCAGTGTAGAGATAAAGGACTGGCCATTTTTCTTGCTCGGCCATACTTAAGGCCAGCTGGATGACTTTCACCTCTGCAAATTGACTGGACTCACCCTCTCCTTCAACAGCTTCTGCGACCCGATGTGTGGGGCTCCACAAAGCAGCCTTCCACTTCCGATGTTTCCCTACAATGAGACAGGACCCGTTGGTAAACAAGGCATATCGCTTCTCATTATCCAGTAGCTCATTATATGGCGGTGCCTCTTCAGCTCGGGTCACCTCTTCCTCTGGTGACATTCCAAAGTCTTTGTTCTCTGGCCAATTTGTAATTACTTCTAGTATTCCTGGGCGGTTGGCATTTCCTATTCAAGCCCGCTGTGTGATGAGTGCGACCCACTTACTCCACGTAGCATCAGTTGCATGATGTGTTGAGGGGACCCTCTCTTTGAACATCCAGCCCAGTACCGGCAGTTGGAGTGCCAAGAGGAGCTGTGCTTCTGTACCAATCACTTCTGAAGCAGCTCGGACCCCATCATATGCTGCCAGTATCTTTTTTTAGTTGGAGTATAACGGGCTTCAGATCCTCTATATCCTCGACTCCAGAATCCCAGGGGTCGACCCCGGGTCTCCCCTGGTGCCCTCTGCCAAAGACTCCAGGTAGGGCCATTCTCCCCGGCTGCAGTGTAGAGCACATTTTTAACATCATGTCCTGCCTGAACTGTCCCAAGAGCTACAGCATGAACGATTTCTTGTTTAATTTGTTCAAAAGCTTGCTTTTGTTCAGGGCCCCATAAAAAGTCATTTTTCTTTCGAGTCACTCGATAAAGAGGGCTTACGATCTGACTGTAATTTGGAATATGCATTCTCCAGAAGCCTATCACACCTAAGAAAGCTTGTACTTCCTTTCTGCTGGTTGGTGGAGACATAGCTGTTATTTTATTAATCACATCCATTGGAATCTGACAAAGTCCACCTTGCCATTTGATTCCTAAAAACTGAATCTCCTGTGCAGGGCCCTTGACTTTACCCCATTTTATGGTGAAGCCAGCTCTCAAAAGAATTTTAACTATTTTCACTCCCTTCTCAAAAACCTCTTCTGCTGTATTCCCCCATATAATGATGTCATCAATGTATTGTAAATGTTCTGGAGCTTCACCCTGTTCCAGTGCAGTCTGGATCAGTCCATGGCAAATAGTGGGACTGTGTTTCCACCCGTGGGGCAGTCTGTTCCAGGTGTATTGGACACCCCTCCAGGTGAAAGCAAACTGTGGCCTGCATTCTGCTGCCAGAGGGATGGAGAAAAAGGCATTGGCGATATCAATGGTGGCGTACCACTTGGCTGCCTTTGACTCCAATTCATACTGAAGCTGCAGCATGTCTAGCACAGCAGCACTTAACGGTGGTGTGACTTCATTCAGGCCCCAATAGTCCACTGTCAGTCTCCACTCTCCATTAGACTTCCGCACTGGCCATATGGGGCTGTTGAAGGGTGAGTGAGTCTTGCTGATCACCCCTTGGCTCTCGAGTTGATGAATCAGTTGGTGGATGGGAACTACAGAGTCTCTGTTGGTGCGATATTGCTGTCGGTGCACAGTCGTGGTAGTGATCGGCACCTGTTGCTCCTCAACCTTCAGCAGTCCCACAACAGAAGGATCCTCTGAGAGCCCTGGCAGAGTGGACAGCTGTTTAATTTCTTCTGTCTCCAAGGCAGCTATACCAAAAGCCCACCGGTACCCTTTTGGGTCCTTAAAATACCCTGTCCGGAGATAATCTATTCCAAGAATACAGGGAGCTTCCGGGCCAGTTACAACAGGGTGGTTTTGCCACTCATTTCCAGTTAGGCTCACCTCAGCCTCCACCACAGTCAGCTGTTGAGAACCTCCTGTCACTCCTGAGATACAGATAGCCTCTGTTCCTTGGAAGTTCGACGGCATCAGGGTGCACTGGGCACCAGTGTCCACCAAAGCCTTATGCTCCTGGGGGTCCAATGTGCCAGGCCATCGAATCCACACAGTCCAGTAAACACGATTGTCCCTCTCCTCCACCTGGCTGGAGGCAGGGCCCCTCTAATGCTGCTCATAGTATCCATTGTTGATGAAGGGGTTAGTGCGGTCTGTGCGAACCTCGGTCTCATCCTGGTTACTCACTTCTTGTAAGTACAACTCGGAAGTTCTCCTCATAGGATCAGGAGCAAAGTCAATTCTTCTACGCTGTTTGGGTAACTGATTAGTTGAGACTGGAGCAGCACTTATCCTGGAAGAAACTTGATTTGTAGCCATTCTTCCTTCCAACTCTTGAACCCGCTCTCTTAGAACGTAGGTGGGTTTCCCGTCCCATTTCCTCATACCTTCTCCATGGTCGCGCAGGTAATACCATAGGTTCCCCTGTGGTGTATACTGTCTCGCTTGAATAGGAAGTCGTTTGCTCCTGATAGCCGAGACCTTATTCTGTGGAGGTGGAGAGTAGGACATGTTCTCTTTAAGTTGTTGGACTTCTTGTGACAGTTTCTCCACAGCCGCGACGATGGAATAAGAGAGACTTTCTTCGTAGTGCCGGAGTCAGTGAGCCAAGTCATCCATAGTTGGTCCCTCTTCGTCTCTCCAGTCAAATACTGCTAGTGCATTCGAATGTGAAGATGGAGCACTCCGTATAAACTTCCGCCACATGGGCCGGGTGCATTGGACTTCATCTGGGTCTGTGGGTAGCCACGCATCGTCTGGATCATAATAAACCATCTCCCACACAGCCAGTTCCCTCAGGTATTGGATGCCTCTCTCCATGGCAGTCCACTTACTTAGATGACATGTAAGATCTTCCTTGAAGGGATATCTGTCCCTCACGCCTGACAGTAGTCGTCTCCAAAGGCTGAGCATTTGTGTCTTTCTTCTAATAATCTTGTCAATGCCTGCGTCCCTGGACAGGGATCCCAGTTGCCTGGCTTCTCTACCTTCTAATTCCACACTGTTGGCCCCGCTATCCCAGCATCGGAGCAGCCAGGTAAGGAGGTGTTCGCCTGGATGGTGGCTGAAATCCTTTCTCATGTCTCGTAGTTCACTCAGGGATAGAGATCGGGTGATTACCACTGGCTCTGCCTCCTCCTCCTGTTCTTGTGAGGGCCCTGGTTCACCATCATCTTTTACAATGCGAGGAGATTTTTTAGTGTATTTCTTCTTCTGTATGGGAGCAATTGATACTGTTGTGGATTGATGCTCCAGTTCACCCGCAGTACTTATCGTAGGGGTTGGATTGGCTGCAGTGTCTGTCGCCTGAGTTGGAGTGGCTGCAGTGCCTGGTGGGGGTGTCAGAGTGGTTGCAGTGCCAGTTGTTTTGCTCGCAGATGCCAAGACATCTTCCTTTTGAGGATACTGCATAGTGGCAAGCAGGGTTCGGTAGGCATGGGCCAGGCCCCAGCATGTTGCAATGATCTGCATCTCTCTTGAGGTGTTAGGATGACAGTACACCTTTTCTAAATATTTTACTAATTTCTCAGGATCCCGCACTTGTTCTGGGGTAAAGTTCTAAAACATTGGAGGTCCCCACTGTCCTAAGTACTTGCCCATGCTACCCCACACTCCCAGCCACTCATAACTCTGCAACCCTGGGGTAGGCCTCTGGGTGGTATTCAGAAAAAGTTGCTTAACCCGAAACAGAACCTGAACCACATTCAGGAACACTACAGCTTCCAGAAATAAGACAACAACGTTAATATGAGCATTCCATGGATATTCAGAGTTCTCAGCATTCTCAAGTATACTTGCAAGTAGCTTGGAGAAGGGGAAGATGGAAAAAGGTATCTCCCCCTTCAGTGGGCTTTTCAAGGAGAAAAGGTGGAGGGTATAGTTACTAACCCACTCCAGTAGGTGCCCCATAACTCCCAGGACCGAAGATTTTATAATGCCATAAATTAGAGTTACTTAATACAGCAAGGCAAAAATCTTAATCCAATTCCCACGAGTAATAAGCAACAACATGGGGACAACATATGGTAAGTAATGTGATGTATAACACAACTGCAGTAACAAAACCCATGATTTTAGGAACCAAGCAAATGACATTATAACAGGATGGGCAGTTGGCATTATAACAAACTTGATAGTACCCACAGATCAAATCTGTTATTATCTCAACCCTTCGTGCCCCACATTCGGCGCCAAAAAAGGACTGTTGTGGTTTGAGCCTACTCAGCAGCTAAATGCCACACAGTTGCTCACCCACCCTTCCCCCACTTGGGAATGGGGAGGGAATCAGAGGGGCAAAGGGAGACTCGTGGGTTGAGATAAAAACAGTTTAATAACAGTAACAGAATAATACACTGACAGCAGTACCAACGGGTGATGTACCATACAGCTGCTCACCACCCGCCGACCAACAACCGCCTGCTCCCAGCCAGTGATCCCAAACACAAAGGTCCCACAGCAACACTCCCAGAAGTGGCAGCCTCTGCCAGCCCTCTCCTGCCTTTATATAGTGAGCACAAGGTCACATGACATGGACTATCAGCCAATCCGGGCCCAGCCCTCCAGCTGTGCTCCCCCTGCCCCCGCGCACAGGTGAGGACACTAGGACCTGGGGAGCCCCTGGGGTCTCAGTGTGCTGCAGCACTCCTTCAGCTACTAAAACAAACAGGAACTCTATACCAGCCCGAACCAGGAGTCTTCAGTAGAAGAATAGGATTGTTTTGGTGTAACTAAGTCACAATTTGAAAGCTTATGGAAAAAACCCCACAATCCAGAATATTGTTTTATTGTAAAGTTACATTAATATACCTCTGAAAGGTGGTGCAAAGCCCGAAGTAACATCAACCTCATCATCATAATGTTGTAATATGTCATGGTTTGAGCCTGGTCGGCAGCCAAACACCACGCAGCCACTCACACCTCCCTTCTTTTCCAGCAAATGAGCCAGGCTTGGGGTTTGAGATAGGATGGGGAGGGGCAGATCACCCATTATGGTCACGGGCAAAAGGCAGACTCGTTAAGGGAAGAAAAAAAAGAGCATGATTTATTACAGACACTAACAACACTCAACAGAGTAGGACAGTGAGAAGCATTGCCACATCTTGAGAACACCTTCCCCCCACCCCTCCCTTCTTCCCGGGCTCAGCTCTGCTCCCGATATCTCTACCTCCTCCCCCAGCGGTGCAGGGACAGGGAATGGGGGGTGCAGTCAGCGCTGCTGCTTCTGTCATCTGCTGTGGGGGGAGCTTCTGGAACTTCTCCCCCTGCTCCATCGTGGTCCCCCTCTCGTAGCACACAGTCCTCCACAAACTTTCTCTGACATGAGTCCCTCCCACAGGCCGCAGCATTCCCCACACCGTTCCATTGTGGGTCACCAACTTTCTCCGACTGGATTCTCTCCCACGGCTGCAGCCCTTCCCGAGCTGCTCCAGCGTGGGACTCCCCTGCATGCTGCAATCCTCCCAGCGCTGAATTACAGCAGCAGGGTTGCCTTTTCCCACAAGACCCCAGCCTTCTTCAGGCACAGCACCTTGATCATCCACGCGGAAGCCACAGGCCATAAATAGTGTCTGCTCCACCGTAGATCTCCATGGGTGGCAGGGGGGGCCGCCCTGCCGTCTCCCCACAGGATACAGGGGGGTCTCTGCTCCAGCACACCTGCCCCCCTCCTTTCTTCCTCCGTTCCTCCACTGACCTTGGTGTTCACGCAGCTGCAGCAACTCCTCCTCACCAGTCCCACTGCTCATCACCACGTCCCTTCTTAAATACGTTCTCGCAGAGGCGCAGCTGATGGGCTCAGTTTTGGTGCAGAGGTGGAGCTGACTTGGAGCTGGGGGAGCTTCGAGAAGCTTTTCACAGGGGGCCACCCCTGTAGCCCCCTCCCCTGCTACCAAAAACCCCGCCACTCAGTCAAACCCAGGACACAATTCTCTTTGACATCTGCAGGAAACCGTTAGTTACAAACCATGAGACTTTTAATGGAACTTCCTTAGTACTCAGGAGATTACCAATGGCTATCAAAAACTAAAATAGGAGCCTCTTTTTACAGTATTAGCAAAATGAAGGAAAAGATTTTGGCGTGTTGTGTGTCATGCTACAAGCACTCGGTTGGCTCTGCACATGCCACTCTGAATTGCAGCAGAACCTATGGAATAAGCTTTTTGAAGGGAGTCATTGGCCTAAAGCTAATTCCATGTAAAGAAAAGTTTGAGGTGGTACATGGTTAGTGATTCTGGTGGAGGACAAAGAGGAGACCTGCATTTTTCTCATAGTGGCTGTGAGTCTTAATTTCTTGCTCAGACCTATATAGGACTGGGTTGTGTCCCCGTGGTGACTGCTGCTGGCAGGCAGATGACAACTCTCTCCAACTGAAGAGAGACCACAGAGGGCACATGTGTTTCAATGAAGCTACTCATTTTTTCTCCTTTGCCCACACTTTATTTTTGTTTGAGCTTTACTTGGCTGTTTTCCCTTGCATACTTGTGCGTGAAGTACTGCCAGAATTACAAGGAAAATGGATGGATTTGGCTGCCTTGTGACACCCTGCTCTGCAGTTTTTCTCACCACTTGACAGTTGAATATATATTGAATGTCACAGAGCATGGCCAGGAAGGGTGATACAATCCATTCCCGGGAAGGGAGCCGGTTGCACTGTTACAAATATAATTGCCACCAATCTTTATGATGAAAATAAGCAAAGCCACATTTGCTGACTATCCAGTCTTTCCTGCCAGTTCTTACCGAATCATCAACTTTTGAAAGAGCAATAAAAATTGTGCAAAGATCGAACTTTCACAGATAATCAGCTTCAAATATGACAGTTGTCTTCTCTATTCCCTTATCTTTGAGGCTAGATAGAGGCGTGTCTGAATTGTTGACTTTTCCACTGCTTTGGAATGAGTCGTGGCCAGAATTCAAAGTGAAATGGTTAGAAGCAGGGTATTTAGTTTTTCAAATCATTTTTTTGAGGGAAGTGATATTATTTTAGACAGCTTCCTGGCCTTTGGCCAATAGGTTGCGCCTTGGGAAGGTGTAAGAGCAACCTGTACCGTGTAATTGGACCCAACTGTCGCTGCTTGGGCATCACATGTTTGAAGGATCATCTCAGCATGGTTCTTTCACATGCTCTTACACCACTGTGAGAGGGAAACCTCTCACATTTTCACTACCTGCCTCTTTCTCATGATGTTTGTTAACGAATCTTTCTGCACTGGACAACATAATACTCAATAGCTGCTCAAAGGAAAGCTGTATGTCCAGTCTCTGCCTCTCTCTAGGGTTGTCACCGGTTAAGATTTTATAAACACTTTTGTGGCTGTCTCCTGAGATTGTATTTGTTGCTTGTCAAATTAAAATTAGGTTCCTGCCTTGTAGTGAGAAAACTTACTTGATTTATTTATTGTTGTTGTTGTTGTTTTTTGTTTGTTTGGTTGTTTTTGTTGTTTTTTTTTTTTTAACTCTGAATTTTTAGAGTGCTATCTATGAGCTAGCTCAGAAGACAAGTGAAGTTCACTGTATCAAAGATAAGTGTGTAGCATACTTGGTTCTGCAGTTGCTGGTGTGGGGTAAAATAGGAAGGGAGGAAGAAAAAGGGCAAAATTAATTATACTTTGGAAAGTGAAGTGCTGACTGTAGCTAGGGAATAAGCATTGTATGGGGAAGGTAAATGGAATCTCATCTCAAGAAAAACTGGATTAAAGCTATAATATGTGTAAGGACAAGTTCTTTAAGAAGTACAGTGATCACGATCAATTGCTGTTGGCTAATGGGAACCGTGAATAGTTATGTCTTATGACTAGTCTGGAGAAATTATTTGTAAACATCTAGTGGGAAGTAACTGTGAATGCAGAAGAGAGGTATTTGTTTCAGTTTCTTTCAGGTCTGTCATTCAGTGTCTACTTACCTCTGAGGTATATTTGTAAGTAAAGAAATCAAATGGTATGTTCACCTTCCAGCTGTACATGTTACTTGGGGGTGCCTGAATGGTAGTTCTGGGGTTATTACTTGAGCCTGAAAGTCACATTTTAAATTCCTTATGCTCTGAAATCGCAGAAATGTGTGTTTCCATCTTAGAATGAGTAATA